GCCGCCCGGGTCCAAGGACTCGAGGCCGTCACCTAGGCCGGGGTGCTTGTAGCCCCACCCCGCTCAATGACGCCGGACATGTTCAATAAAGTTTTTACTCACTCACTCTCAGATTGTTTCTATTTAGGGCACTTTATTTTCATGTAGCGCGAACATTGCAGATTTTTCTTAGCCTAAATCACTTTTATGGAAATGCAACTAAAACAAGTTTCTTGCCAAAGTTGGCCTTTGCTAAAAGAATCATAATAAATGTGGATGTTACAAAACTATGACTACTGCCCATTCATCGAAAAGACCAGGTTGAGATGTGCAATGTAATTATTATTGTACACTTTTAAGTATAGCAAAGGTGTCAGATAGCACTTCTGGAAATTCTTAACGTTGGCTTTTTAAGGTAGAAAGAACATTTCATACAAAGTGGACTGTAATGTGCAGTGGACACCAATAAATGCTAAACTCATGCTAATTAGCTGTTAACTCTGGTTCAATTATTAGCTTATTTTAGTGATCAAATTACAGTATAAATTGCCACTGATGAATTATAGCCAGTGCGTAACAATATGATCGAGGGTTTTATCCACCAAAGCTCTACCTGATGAGGCACTCTAAAATGGAAGGCTGCAGAAATTTCGACTCTCCAGTCTCTAACATTTGGACGTTTCACAGTACTCAGGCCTCACAATTCAGCTCCATCAAAATGCAACCACCGTGGTCAGGATCAATAGCCAGTGAGTTCACAAGACATATTCACTTGTAATAAAATCTGCAGGTGGCACACACTCTCAAAATATTAAACACCAAACTTGGAAAATTTTTAATGTGCAAGAAAAAAATACAGAAAAAGATAAGTGTTTGCCCTTGAATGCTTCATTCTTATGTGTTTATTTATTTGCACTATATGCTACGTTCTAAGACAAAACGGAAATATAGCTTTCTTTAAAATTTTGAATTACGCGAACTTTTGAATGGGGCAGTGCAGTTTTCGAGGATTGGAATGTGACATCAAAACTCATTATAATGCCTGGTATCTGCAATTGCTCAAGATTACTGTGTAAAGCCACTATGAAAATGGCCTCTAGAAATAAGGTCAGTTCTGATGTAAATGTTCCGAGTCAAAATAACGCCAATGTCACCCGATTTGAAGGCAGTGGAAACTAAGCTAATAGTGAGTTGCTTAGACCTAAATTGCTTAATTTCAATATGTGGGGACTGTACAGTGCTCACATATTGCTCACAGCGCAACATGAAAACTTTCAGTATGACGACTGGTATGCAGAATCACTCAAGATAACCACACCATGTTGCTATGAGTGTGACTACTAAAGATAATCTTGGTCCTGACGTAAGCATTCAGAGTCGAGATTACGGCGATACAGCAGGAGCTGAAGATGGTGGAAATGAAAGTATGTGCATTCTTTAGACTTAAGTTATCGCATTTCAATCTATGAATACTATACGTACGAGTTGCTTCAGACAAGTTAAAAATCTTCCACCATAATTATTTGTGCTATGAAATTTTGTGCGTGGCGCATGTCATTGCAACTGTTCATTATATTTCTAATGCTTGCATTATGCGAACTATTTCATGTTATCTTTACTGAGCGGCAATCTACATCATATGATGTAATTCTCAATGTGCAGCAGTATTGCGGAGCTGCCACTCCGGAATTGTAATAATTCAGGAAATATTCCAGATTTTTGCAACCCCAGAATGGGATAGGAATGGAAAGGGGGCAATGCTTGGAGGAATGGAATGGGAATAAAATTAAGCACATTTTGAATGGAATGAAATGGGAATGAAATTATGTCTTACCAAAAATAGAGCACGTTTTTGTCTAAAGTGCCGTTTTTCAGACTTCAAACATTAGTAAATCTGAGCCTCGAATTCAACAACAGAGCAGCATTTTTAAAATGGCTTGGCTGATTACAAGCACCATACATTTATAAGCAACACTCCTACTACAAGCTTTTCCTTATATTGACTGTGCTCCTCTGAAGTTTGTCTCCATTGCTCGTGTAGGGGCGGTCAATGGAAATACGGCGGCAGCATGCCCTCTCCCCCCCCTCTTAACTCCTTGTGATTTTTTTTTGCCTTCGGCAGCACTCAAGTCACACTCCCCAGCAGTCCACATTTTTGAGCCAGCTTCTGTCACTGTTGGTGGACTCACACACATGTTCTCTCTCTCTCTAAGTAATTATAACAAGAAAAAGAAGAGAAAAGTGCCACCCATAACAGTCTCTCCTTAAGAGGACACCTCAACAGGTGGGCACGGGGATGGGGTAAAGGGAATAAGAGGTATAGGAAAAAAAAGATAAGAAAAGAAAAAAAAAGAAAGAAATTAAGACATTTTATCCACCTCTCTCAGCGCTCGCCCAAACCACCGCAACACGCAACTGTCTGGAAATGCAGTCAAGATAGAGAGAAGAAGATCCACCGAGTTAGAAGAGCTATATTTAACAGGCCGTGATGATGCATTAGATGTTATGAGTGCGCGAAAAAAAAAAAGACACTCGTTCAAGTTGTGATGTGTATTAACACTGGCGCGATGCTTTTGTTCACTGCAAGCTCACCTCCTACTTCCCCCACCTCTCCCCTAATTTCGCGATACTGTCCCCCCTTGTCTAGACACACAAGCACCTTTCCCCAAAACTGTTAACAAAGGTATCTAGATCGGTGCAGCACACAGTCGTACACGATGACCTGTGTGCGCTCCCCCTCCATACAGCCAGAAAGAGAGTAAACTTTTAAAAGCATTAGTTCCAGAAGCTGCCTGAAGCAGGAAAGCCCACGTAACCATGATCACGCCGGCGCCTCCCTGAATCCTGAAAAAAAACCCACGCGCTAAACTAAAACTACGTTCAGTTGGTTCTAGGGTGGGAGGGGGGGGGGAGCTAGAGAAGCACTATTATAATGTAGTACCAAGCAGGCTCCTGCGTCCTGCGGTTCACGCTTGAGCAGCTTATGATTGTCAATACAGGTAGACGAGAAATGTCTAATCTCACTTTTTTTAAGAAACAACCGCTGACAGACCCATCCAGTCACAATTTGAGTTTTAAAACTAAATGGTGAATCTCTCATTTAGAACTTAACATTTAGTTGCAAAAATTCGATGAACAAAAGCAAAATAAACTTTTTTTTGCACTTTGTACTGCTTGTGACCTTTATTGCAGCATCTAAAAATCTCGAAGACGCTTAAGCACCTTTTATGGCGTAAGCCTGGTGACCAATGAACTAGAAGTGACCAATTGCCAAACATGTCCGGAAGACGAGGCATTCAGGAAATCAAGCCTAGGAGATAGGTGTTCCTGAATCTTGAGCTGATAGTTGGTCATCCTGCACTCCCAGTGCTCCGGGGTGAAATCACTTCATTCTTATCGTTATCTTTTTTTTTTGTAACTTCGCTTAGTACCTATGACTCTGCACATATCTATGTTCACATTGCCAAGCAGAGAGGACATCGCGGAGTGTTTTTATGCACCGTTAATAGCTATTACTGTATAACATGCTGAAATTAGTCATGTAGGCCTTAGTAGATGCTCTATCTAAGTCGAAGGCCACAACGCTTTCTCTAGGTCGACCTTTAGTCAGCCAAAGTCAAGGGTATGCGTGGTGTAAAAGTGTGAACAATCTGAAATTTGTAAACAAGAATCCACGGCATAAGTTGGTATACAAACAAATGTATTATCGCAAGAGATACTGAAAGGAGAAACAAATCATTCTCGCACATTGGTTCTCATTGATCACACCACGAAAGGGGCAAATACTCTATGCATGGCCTGATGTATATCTCAAGAGCAGTTTGATTGATTGATTGATTTGTGGGGTTTAACGTCCCAAAACCACTATTTGATTATGAGAGACGCCGTAGTGGAGGGCTCCGGAAATTTTGACCACCTGGGGTTCTTTAACGTGCACCCAAATCTGAGCACACGGTCAAGAGCAGTTTAGTACCTGACACACGTAAATAACATTTGCGACAAGGAAAACATTGCATACCTGCCCACAGGCGAACAAAAAGTTCTCCTAATCCCATCCATGCAAGCAAGGCGCGCTTGGCAAGCATTAGTGCCGATGAGCAGTGCGGCCCTGTGTTTCATATTGGATGCAAAGACACAAGTTGCCCGAGCGGTAATGTACTGTTCCACCTATTACCAGCTGATCTAGAGCATTTTGTTGCTGATATGTGGCGATGGAACTGCTCCTATGGGATTTAGTAGGGTGGTTTTAGTGCAAGAGATATGCCACCAAGTTACTACCCTTAGACCTTGTTAACGTGTTCACATACTTTTGCAGTTCTTAATGCATCTCATAATACTATATTCATGGGGTCGTTCATTATTAATTCACAAAAACTCTCACGATGCATTTCATTCATTGAGGAATTGAAGGAATGAAACTGAACGGCCGTGCCATTCCGGAGTGGGATTGGGCAAATTTTTTTCATTCCGAGAAATTGAGAGGAATAGAATTACGGCAAATCCTAATTCCTCGGAATGGAATTGGAATGTAATTGAGACACCCATTCCGCAACACTGACGTGCATTAACACATTGTTTAGGTGCTAGCAACACTGAGCCCCGCCGCAGTGGCCTAGTGACTAAGGTACTTAGCTGCTGACCCGCAGGTTATGGATCGAATCCCGGCTGTGGCGGCTGCATTTTCAATAGATGCAAAAAATACTGTAGGCTCGTGTGCTCAGATTTAAGTGCAAGTTAAAAAACCCCAGGTGCTCGAAATTTCCGGAGCCCTCCACTACGGCGTCTCTAATATTCATATGGTGATTTTGGGATGTTAAACCCCACATGTCATCATACTAGCAACACTGACTGTTTTAGGGCTGCTGAGGTTTGTCAAGCTGTCAACATGGCTGCATTGTTCCAGCCAACCTTAGTATTTATGATAAGTGAAGTAAGCTGAAGTTGCTTTTGATTTTACTGCAGGTTATCTTCTAATACAACAAACACTAATCGCTTGTTTGTATTGTGAAGATTAGCTTTACCTGTGACATCAACAAGCAACCAGTCATCTTCAGCCTCCATGGTTCGGTAGTTGACATCATCTTCAGGTGTTGGAGTAGGCGGGGCATTGAGAAAATAGCTAGCAATGCCGCTCAACATGACTCAGGATGCACAATGTATTTGATGACTTTTAAGAGCTCTACCTGCATAGACAAAAGCAACGTGTAACCAAACTTCATTTCACATGCTACACTACACACACAATGAATATCACATACTACATCGTCAGCAATCGGCGTGAACTAAACCGTTCCTGCTGGTAATATTGAGTAACTACAGAAGAATGGTGTTATACTGAGCTAATATTGCCTTCAAGCACAGTAATACTGATGTGACGTGTGTTTGACAACTCTGTCCAGCGGTAGAAAACGGAAGGCAACTGACAGTGACTGACTATTGGGTATACTGAACTCCAGTACACTTGGACGTGTTTTCATTTCACGGTATATTGCTCCAGAAAACCACTTTACTGAAGGTGCTACTATGTTTGACGGCACATTCGATGTTATGTGTTCCAGCAGTAATATAAAAAAAATGTTTCTTTTCTGATAGTGCTAATTTCTGATAGTGCTAAGTAGTACTAATTAATTATGCATATACTCTTAGCCTGTCATCAAATTATTTTGTATAAAAATCCAACATGATTGACTGCACACTAAATAGTTATTTAATTATAATAACTTGCCACAATTACCCACTAGAAAATTTGAAAAGCAACCTTCAGTCACTTTGTCCTTTCAATGGAGTTATGAAGACAAGAGTCATGAAATAAATATTAGTAAATAATGCATTTACAAACAGTCCATTGTAACTTGCATGTGAAGGAGATATATATGATTTTCACTATGTCAAAAATTTTACTATAACCCGAGTCAATCACTGAGCAAAAAAGGCTTCTTCAACACATATAGTAAAGCGATTATTTCTGTTCTCAATCCACATGCCTCTGCACCTGCTTGAATATGGTAGATGGATTATCATACCGAAATGAAGCATCAATAAGCACCAGTACAAGTTCACCTTTGGACGCTGGCCCATACGGTATCGTGTGTGACATTAAAAATGCAGCATGATTCTGAATGCAGCACAAGTACCCGATTATATCCCAGTTTCATACATCCTGCAGTTTGTTTATATAAGCAAGCTTTACTGCATGAATCACTTTAGTAATGCATTCACTTATTTTGCAAAACAATTTTTTTTTTCAGGGAACAAAAAGAGTTATATGCTATGACAACATGCAATTGCTTTTAATTTATAGTTACTATGCTGTCTTTTAAAATTTTTTATCCCTCTATGTGTATCGTATTTTCTTCATTATAACCCACTTCTTCATATAACCAGCTCCCCCAGCCACAAACTGCAGCAAGAAAAAAAACGCCAGGCCTGCGCGGTAGGCACAGCACAGTCAGAGCGAAAGCTAGGAGAGCGACCTTTCAGAGCCTTTTAAAAACACTTATTGGGTAACTAACTACTGCAAGCACACTTGCTTGGTACCCATTAGGGCATTAATAATAAACTTTTGGGTAGTAGGCCAGCATTTGCTATGCTATTTTTTGTCATTCTTCTGAGAAACGTGGTATCCACTAGACACTTGCTCGGAATTTTGTGCCAATTATCCACGCAGTGGCTGACAACAATGAGGAATTATGGCTGAAGTGGGTATGTGCCACAGTTAATAGGGAAACAAGAACAAGTTTTTGTAATAGGTTGGAGCATTGGACGGCCCACTTGTTACGCTAATCGCATAGTGCGACGACTGGTTGCTCTTTCGCTATTGTAAAACACTTTATAGGTCGTATTAATGCGATAGCTTTCCTGACATCAAGCCTGTCTAAGGCAAGTTTGACAACAAGTTACACGCACTGGCGTAACTCAGTGGTAGAATATTGGACTGGCACCCAGCGACCCCGGGTTCAAGCCCCACTGTGTCATTGATGCAAGTTTTTTTTTTCTAATTTCACATGATGTGGTTACGGGCGGCGGCAGCAGACAATATGCAACGGCGTGTGACCCGAGTTGTGATTTCATAACAGCTTTCGCTGTAAAAAAGCTACCCGCGTATTGACACAACGTCGCCTTCTTTGCATTGCCGTAAAGCCTTGCCATGAAGCCAACTTGCTCACCAAAATTTCATTGTGTAACTCGCACCCCGACTTCAGCTACAAATTTTCTGTATATTGTGATCGCGTTGTGCGCGAGAAAATACGTTTACTCAATGTTCAGCCAGGTGCGTCTAAGTTGGCGAGAGTTCAATGCATGCGCTTGCAGCAACCAAAGAACGAGTCATAATCGTCAGTTCTTACCAAATTTTGTGGTCTATAGGTGAAATTTCGCTTTTTACACGTCCCGTCAGTTTCGTTGTAGCGGGATTCGACTGTATATTTATTCATAAACCAAATTAAATGACTCCCTCTAATTTCATGCAATAGTTCAGCAAGCATGGCTAAAAAAGGTTAAAAAATATGTGGAAATTCCTTTTGAAATTTTCCGCGTCCAAGATCTTGATAACCATCATGCTGTCTTCATCAAAGCGATCGTGTGTACCAACCTATTTCAACCAGAAGGTAGACAGAAGCTTTAGGCAACAAGAATGCTTAATTTAACATTACAGAGACACAAAAATAGCAAAAGTAAATCGTGTCTCCGAATGAGGATGCTGTGTTGCAAAGGATTAAAATATGTACCAGGCGGGCCACCGCTTAATAAATCGGGATGATCCCACCTCACCTGGCCACCTTGAGAGAGGGCGCGCGCGCGGCGCGGCAGCCATCAATAAACAGTCCCTTGCTAGCTAGCGTCTCGTGTGGTTGTGTCTTTGCGGAGCGCGTAAAGCAGAACAAAATATATCTAGGATTTAGAAGCTATGGGGTTCGGCTAATCTGAGACGAACTTTTCAAGTTGAAATGGTTGATGTCTTGAAACATGGTATCAAAGCAAGCTTTTTTTGGAAAATATTTTATAATGGGGCAATTTCCTGAAGTATACTGTTAGTGTAAAGCATCTCAATCAGAAATCAGACACACAACAGAACAAAAATTCTAGCACTTCACCATTCAAGTATGACATTTCTTCAGAAGATCACATTGTAATTATGGCAATAAAAGGCTTGCACATTATGTTTATAACATATAAAAGGCTAATTATGAGTCACTTATGCAAAAGAGTTGGTGAATCTATTCTTGTTACCAGTCAATAATGGGAGCTGCTTCTAAATGTTCGAATATAGGTATGTGTGCACATGGCTGGATGTAGGCGCGTAAGCCTGTACTACTTTCATCTTGTATCTTTTTTTATTCACACGCTTGAACACGCTCTGAAAAACGGAGGAAGCGTCAAAGTACTGAAGAGGAAACTTGGGATAGGCAAAAGTCGGATGTATGCACTAAGGGACAAAGAAGGCAAAATAACTACCAATATGGATAGGATAGTTAAAATAGCGGAGGAGTTTTACAGAGATCTGCACAGTAGCCGAGACAACCACGACCTTAATATTATAAGAACTAGCAGTAACCCAGATGACACCCCACCAGTAATGATAGAAGAAGTCAGAAAAGCTTTGGAGAGCATGCAAAGAGGCAAAGCTGCTGGTGAGGATCGGGTAACATCACACCTGCTGAAAGATGGAGGACAGATTGCGTTAGAAAAACTAGCCACCCTGTTTACGAGGTGTCTCCTGACGGGAAGGGTACCAGAGTCTTGGAAGAACGCTAACATCATCTTAATACATAAGAAAGGAGATGACAAGGACTTGAAGAATAACAGGCCGATCAGCTTGCTCTCTGTAGTATACAAGCTATATACAAAGATAATTGCTAGCAGAGTAAAGAAACCATTAGAATTCAATCAACCAAAGGAACAAGCAGGATTTAGAACAGGCTACTTAACAATTTACCACATTCATACTATCAATCAGGTAATAGAGAAATGCTCAGAGTATAACCAACCACTATACATAACCTTCATAGATTACAAGAAGGCGTTTGATTCAGTAGAAATATCAGCCATCATGCAGACACTGCGGAATCAGGGCATAGATAAAGTATATATAAACATTCTGGATGAAATCTGCAGGGGATCAACTGCTACCATAGTGCTTCATAAAGAAAGCAACAGAATACCAATCAAGAAGGGTGTAAGGCAGGGGGACACAATCTCCCCAATGCTATTTACCGCGTGCTTACAGGAGGTTTTCAGAAGCCTAGAATGGGAACAGTTAGGGATAAGAGTTAATGGAGAATACCTTAATAACCTGCGCTTCGCCGATGACATCGCATTGCTGAGTAACTCAGGGGACGAATTGCAACTCATGATTACGGAGTTAGACAAGGAGAGCAGGAAGGTGGGTCTTAAAATGAATCTGCAGAAAACGAAAGTAATGTACAACAACCTCGGAAAAGAGCAGCGCTTCGAGATAGGTAATAGTGCACTTCAAGTTGTAAAAGACTATGTCTACTTAGGGCAGGCAATAACCGCAGAGCCTAACCACGAGATTGAAGTAACTAGAAGAATAAGAATGGGATGGAGCACATTCGGCAAGCACTCTCAAATGACAGGTAGATTATGACAGGTAGATTGCCACTATCCCTCAAGAGGAAGGTATATAACAGCTGTATCTTGCCGGTACTTAGCTACGGAGCAGAAACCTGGAGACTTACAAAGAGGGTTCAGCTTAAATTGAGGACGACGCAGCGAGCAATGGAAAGAAAAATGGTAGGTGTAACCTTAAAAGACAAGAAGAGAGCAGAGTGGATTAGGGGACAAACGGGGGTTAAGGATATCGTAGTTGAAATAAAGAAGAGGAAATGGACATGGGCCGGGCATGTAGCGCGTAGACAGGATAACCGCTGGTCATTAAGGGTAACTAACTGGATTCCCAGAGAACGAAAGCGGGTTAGGGGGAGACAGAAGGTTAGGTGGGCAGATGAGATTAAGAAGTTTGCGGGTATAAATTGGCAGCAGCAAGCACAGGACCGGGTTAACTGGCGGAACATGGGAGAGGCCTTTGTCCTGCAGTGGACGTAGTCAGGCTGATGATGATGATGATGATGATGTGTGCACATGTACACAAATGCAAGATCAAAAAGCACTGGCAGAATGGCGCAATCCCGCATAATAAAAAAGTCGCAGCTTTGTCACAAAG